AGCTTTTAGGTGAGTTTGGGAATTCGGGGGTCAGCCGGGTGTGGGGATGGTGGGGCTTTAGCAGAAATACTCCCCATTCCCAGGAGTTCTGCTTGGAGCTGCTCCCAGTCGTGCAGCTCGTTGCAAGGCCTTAAAGAGTTAAATATCAGATATTTGGCCTTTCACCAGTCTCTTTGAAAGTTTATTTGCAAAATAAGGAAGGTCTTAACTTCGTTTGTAACCCTTTGAGATTACTCCTATTTATCTTTTTTTTTTCTTTTTAAAGGGGAATCAGAAGAACTGAGGGCTTTGCTGCTGAACCCACACCTCCGGCAGCTGCTCCTCACCATCGACCAGGCAGAAGACAAAAGCTCCCTCATGAGGAGGTTCATGCAGGAGCCCCTGTTTGTGGAGTTTGCAGACTGCTGCCTGAGGATTGTGGAGCCTCCCGAGAAGGAGAACATCCTCCCCGAGTGAGCACGTTTTCCTTTCCTTGAGGTTCTGTGCTGCAGAGCTGCTCCATTCTGTGTCTTTCCTCAGGGTCTGGTCACTTTGCCCCTGGATTTCAGTGCTCTGATTTCAATTCAGAGTTGACAGTGAGAGGTTTCTAGAGACTGGGGGTTGAACCTGACACTCTGCAGACCTGCTTTGTGTTGGTACAGAAATATTGGCAACCGTGGCAAATGTTACTTCACAGTGACAATATTAAATATATTTGCATTTATTTTTAATCGACAAATACTCTGAAATGTTTTTGTTCGTTGTTTGGGATGGCCAGACACCTTGACAAGGTGTTGAGCAGTTTATTTAAAATGACATACACAGAGGAGCTGAACATTTCTGAGACCCATGAGCAAGAAAAGGACGGTACAGAGCACCTCTGATGAGACCGTGGGCAGGGCAGTGCTGTTTGGGGAGCTCTGGAAACGCCTGGCAGCTGTGAGAGCTCATATATTTCAGTCATAGAGAGAAAAAAGCAAGAGCCCAGTCTTGCTTTTCCCTGAGACATCTGCCCTCAGTGTTACGTTGGCTGCTCCTCCCTCCCTCGGTCAGTCAGAGGTGTGCCAGTGTTTGGGGAACACTGGTGGTCACCCAGGAGGGTTGTACCTCTGAAAACCCAGCAGGAATCAGGAATATTTGCATTATTTGCTCTCTCATGACCAGCCTCTTGCTTCTCCAGGTAGTGCCAGCAGCGTTCAGTTCAAGTATTTATTGCTTAGAGCACCTGATCTGGTTTAGTTGATTGTTCTCATAGTGCTGATGTGTCCTGTAACATGTGCCTGTGTGGAGGAATGGCCCCCAAACCCCCCAAATTTGACCTATCTTACATTACATTGTATTTTACGTACAAGGCAGCGAGGTGGAAGCTCTGAGGTAGCAGCAGATGTGGCCGTTGAGTGATTTGAAAGCAGCAGCTTGCAGAGAGCCCTTCCCTGAAGGCAGAGGTGTGCAGGGGCCAGGCCTATGTGGGCAGGAGTTCCTTTCTGTCCAGCAGGATCTGGTTGAATCCCGTGATGGAACAGGCATCCCTGTGGGGGCTGACGTTGGAATAGTGCAGGGGGGACTTCCTGCAGTGGAACCTGACAGAGCCCTGCAAGGAAAAGAGGTGGAGAGGTCAGCTGGGGGGCTGGCCAGCTTTTGAGGTGATTTTGTTGTTCATGCTTAGTGTCTCTGAGCAGCTAGTGACTGTGAGGATAGAAGAGGACCTCCAGAGGAGTTTTAGTACAAATGGATTTAAGAGAACTGAGTACCAGTACTGTAATTTGAACTGGAGTTAGCTTAAACTCTGGAGATTGGAGTGTTTAGTGCTGAACTTGCCACTGCTTCTGCCTACCTGCAGTAACTGTGACCGGTTCTTGCACCCAGAATTTTATGCAACCTCAGAAAAGTTTCCAAAAAACCCACCAAAGTGATTTGTGACAAGGTGCAGTTTCTGAGGGCAGCCAGTGGCTGCAGCTTGTTGGTAGGAAATGGTATCCAGGACTATTCCTTGAACTCCTGGCACCCTGCCCGTGCTGACTGGGGTCCGTGAGGTGGTTACCTGTGGGAGAGCTCTGATGGAAGCGATGCCACAGCCCAGGGAAGGGCTCTCCAGCCTGGAGCAGCCGCTCTCCTGGAGCCCCCTGAGCCAGCCCAGCAGCGCCAGGTCCCTGCGGGGCCCTGTGGCCGTGACGGGGGCAGCAGCCAGGACAAGGCCCAGGGGCCAGAACTGGACAATGGCCTGCCCAGGCCACGCTGTGTCCAAGGAACAAGGCGGTTTGGCCGGGATCACCGTGGCTCCAGGAGCTGGGAACTCCTCCCCTTCCCCCTCATCCAGTTCTGCCGCTGCCAACGTGGCCATTTTCGCCTGGTGAAGATAAGGAACAGTGTTCAACGAGGTTCTCAGACACCCTGAGCAGAATTTAAAGAGTCTGGAAAGGAGGGAATCTGAAAGGGCAGCAGACCCTTTGGGGCATTCCCATGAAGGTAAGGAATGGGTTTATTCTGCAGAATAGAAGCAGGACTGGCATCCTCTGCTCTTCAGCTGGAGAAGAGTTTAATGGAGCAGTGACAGTGCTGCTTTTGTAGTTAGTTGAGGCAGAGCAGTAACTACTAAGAGGGAGATGCCTTCTAAAAAAAAAAGCCTCAGTGACTGAGTTCTGTGCTTCCCTGTCCCCACACCCTCACCTTCCATCTCCTCCAGCCACGTTGGATGACTTTGGCAGCCCCGCGCGTCCTTCGGAACCGACTCCTGGCCAGCCAGGAACGGACAGCTGAGGGTTCAGTGGAAACAAAGCTGAGTACAAACAATCTCAGGAGCTCTGGCACACAGTGTAAGAGGTGGCACTTCACCACCCCTGCCACTTTAATCCCCCAACATAACTGGAAATGTTCCTCGTTCTGTTGTTCCAGCCACATTTTTGTGGAGTTACCTGCTTGGATGACAGTTGCAGACTGTTTTTCCTTGGCAGACTTCTTCTGCTTAAACCTCCTCCAGCAACACTGAATGCAAAATGCTTTCTCATTTAACACCTCTGTTCTCCTGGCTTCCAGTAGCTCCAGCTGCAGTGGGGACAGGAGCATGGAGTTAGTACTCAGGGCAGAGTTCTGCTCTCAACTCTTCCCTTTTCTGCAGCCTCTTGGTGTTTGTCAGAGAGCCACATCCTCATTCCAGTGTCCTGTGACTGCTGGATTAGGTGTGGGAAGTGACAGCACTCCATTAGTGCTTATTAGATAATATGGAGACAAAAATGTAAGTAGTTGGGGGGTCACAGTAGCAGCTGGCTTAAAACCAGCTTCACTGAAGGGGGTTCTATGGCTGCATCCTGCAAGCTTGGCAAAGGTAGCTCTGTCTCCTTCATCTTCTTCCCCAAGGAAGCTGTGTGGGGCAGTTGGAGTAGCCAGATCTGTCAGCTGAAGGTAAGGAAAGCTGTAATCTTTCCTGGAATTGGGAGAATCCTGACAGTTCTAGACACAAGTGCAGCTCCTTGTCCCTTGGCTCCACAGAGGCCATTAAACAGCTTCTGAGGGCTGGGTTCTGATGGATGCCTGACTGAGTTGAGTAATTTGAAGGAAAATGCCCAATTCTGGTCACACTGGCTTGGCAGGAGCACTGCCCCCACCATGGTGATACCTGTGCCAGAATCCCCACTGGGCAGGTGAGCTCCAGAATTGTCAGCCAACTTACCACAGAACTGGCCAGGAATACTTTGGTCTTCCCACAGTACACTGAGGGAGTTCCTGCTCCACTCCCTGTTTGCTCAGCAGTGCTTTGTCCCATAACAACGTTCTGCAGGATCCCAAGAACAGCAGAACGTGATGCTTTGTCTTCATCCATCACTGGAGTCTCGCCTGGAAACGAAGCATTGAGGAGGAGGAGTCACAAGACTTGGAAATCAGGACCAAGGAATGGTCTTCACACTGAGATTTCTTGGCCATCTAGAGGGGGAAAACCTCCAGCAAGAGGGGAGGAGGTGATGGCTGAGAGCACTCAGCCTCACTGGGCTTTGGGGTAAAATGGGACAGCACAGATTTCACCAGGTGCCAGCAACCAGACAACCAGTGTGGGGGGTGTTTTAACTGGGAACAAAGAACAAAAAGCAAGGAATTGGACTCAGCCTTAATGTACTGAAAGGTGCAGGAGGGGGAGACAACTTGTGCACAGGTCTCCAGCCTTCCCAGGGCATTGGAAGCAGCTACGGGGTCAGGTACTGAGCAGGACTTTATTGCAGCAATTAGAGGTTATTAAAACCATTTGTGGGACACAGTGCACAGCTTTTTACATCATGAGACAAAGAGGTTGGCCAGCTGAATCTTAACTGCAGATTCAGACGTAATTCAGAGCTGTCCTTGAAAGAGATTGTGTTGTTCAAGGAGTTCCTGCAATGGGCTTTGTATCATTCCATCCTGGATACTGTTTGCTTTTCTGCTATAAATATTTCTAAGGAGATGAGAGCATTTTAAGGTACTGAAAACAAATAGGAGCAATTCTTGCCTACAGGAAGACATCTGGTGCCTGTGATGGTGTTCATGGGGCCGGGCTGATAAGGGAACCAAAAGCTTATCCCCGTGTTTGGGAAATTTGTTTTGCTTTGTTTGCAGCTTATTACCCCCTAAAGATAAAAAGGACTAAGAACCTATCACACAGAGGCTTTGCAGCTAATGGGTTTGTAATTGAGGGGGAAAGATACAGTGTGTAAGTAATTTTCCAGCCTGTACTTCCTTCCTCCACTCCATTTCCAGCCAGTGAATGGATATCCAGACATTTTACTTATCTGAACAGGCTGGTACTTACTGGTCCTGCTTCCTGCTGGTTATGGAACAGACCCACTGGGTGAAGATGGGATTAATTTGGGAGAGAGAAAGGGGTTGCAGGAACCTTCAGTATTAAATGTAACCTCCTGATGAGGTCCTCCTTTTAGGGGTTCACAGCAAAGGCATTACCTTGTAGACTGGGTTGTGTTTTTTAAAGTCCATCCTCGCTCTTGCTTAGAAAAAGAGAAGTTTGCAAAAGGTGGAAGAAGCAGCAGAATCCAGGTAAGCTGGAAGGTCAGTGATTCAGCAAGGAAGCAAAGTGGGGGAAAAAAAGAAAGGAAGGAGAAGGAACATGAGCCAAAAGGTAAGAGGTTTTTCAAGTCTGCTAAAGAACCAACTCTAAATCAAATTATATTGGGTGGAGGGAACCCCAGACACCACTGTAACTGTAATTGTTCCAGCCAAGAGGAACACAGAAAACCAGCAATAAGAGGAAAGATTTTAAAAAGAGCCTGCTGTAAGCATTAGGCAAATTAGAAACTCCAACTGGTGACAGATTAGAGAAGTATTCTGAGAACAGAGGTGTCCCTCGTGCTGAACACAGTAATCACCTGACCTATGCAATATCAAATGGGTGCAGTGGTAACTTTACTTGATGGCAGAGGGATTATCTGCACAAACATACCTTTTTCCTCAGCAGTGTGAGAGTTGCTTTTATCACACACTCTTCTTTTACTGGGCCCACAGGACTCTCTCAGCATTTCGTAGCGCTCAGTGAAACGTTGGAAGGGGATCCTGGCAGACAGACACAGTGAATTCCAGGGAAGAGTCACCACTGTGGCAAAGAGCTTATCCTTTGGGGGTAAAAACTGCAGAATGGCTTCACAGATCCAGTGCAGGGAATGCAAACAGACTGATGCCTAAAGAGTCACCAACAGGCAAGAAACTACAAACTCCCAGTGGTGCCTGTAGCAAAGACTGGGCAGGAATTGTGCTTGGATATGACAATGATGAACTTTACCCCATCAGTGCTGAGCTGTGCCTATCTCAGGCCTCGCTCTGCACCCTCTAAACGTGGTCAAGAAAGCCCAGCAAGGCTGTGATGGGATGCTGAGCTCTGAGATGTCTACACTTAGATAAATGCCTTTTGTGATTTAATTTTAATTGCTAAAAATGTTGCTGTGAAGCCACGTTCAGTTAGAAAAATTTTAGTACATAATAGTCCACATCAAAACATCTCTTCCCCAGCTTCTCAGGCTGGAAAGGTACAGTGAGCTCTCAGACAGCTTTGAAAGCTTTCAACTACTTTGTAGTAGTTTTGAAGCCTAAAACAAAGTGCAAAATATTTGGGTTTCCTTGCTTATAAGCTCTTCTGAATAACTAATATGCCACTAATTGCTGCAGAAGTGGGTTATGCTCAAGAAGTCTGGACTCACCTGACAGGGAATCCTGCTGCACTGATGGTGATGGCTTCGACTATTCCACATGCCTGCAACTGGCTGAGAACCTGAGGCATAAATTGGGATGGTTTAGGTGACACTCTGGGAGCTGCTCCTCTCTTGTGGGATCCACACCCTGACTGACCGAATGCAGCAGCAGGTGAAAAGCCAGTGGGGGTATTTTAATACTATTTTCTCCTTATTGTTTTAACACTACTGTGCACTCAGCAAATTCTATGAGTGTTTAAAGTCAAGGCAGCAACACTCCAGCTGCTTGTTTTCCCATCAGATGAGGGTCTCTAGTTACAGCTCTGCTCCCAAAGTCCTCAGCTGGTCTCATCCAACTTGTCCTGCACTCCAGGAGCAAGCAAAGGTTTGTTTGGGAGATCCCTGTGTGCCCAGGGCTGCTGAGCACTCAGATCACCCTCATCTGTTTGAGGGCTGGGAGGGCAGCACCCCAAATAACCCAGGAGTGTCCTGGGAAGAGAGCTTCTCCTACAGCAACACATAAGTTGCACCTGGAAGAGCTGCTGTGCTCACAGGCTCTGTTCTGGACAAGCACCATCAGTGACTCTGAAGGGAGGTTTTTCTCTGCAGCCTCAAAGGAGAAGCAGCTATTTCAAAATGTGCTGTGAGAGGAGCTTTGCAATGCAAAGGCCCCACAACGTCTCCAGGAAGCTTCTCAGTGAGGAAAGGCTTTGGAAAAGTTACCTCTTCTCTTTTAAAAGTCCTGGCCTTGCAGTCAGCATTGGGTTTGATGCAGCGGATGTAGTGTGGGGTGGTCCTGTTCAAAATCTGCATGAGATGTTCCAGGGAGCTCTGCACAAAACAGACACAGGAGGGATCAGGGACAACTCCTCCACAGGGAGCTCAGCTCATCAGGGGTCTTCTGTCAAACCCAGGGAGCTGCTTTTTCGCAAGGATGGCTTTACAGACTCAGAGCAATTCTACAGGGACAACTTGAGCAAAAAAAAAATCCACTCTATGGATGCTTTCATCAAGTTGTTGATGGTAAATTCAGAAAGTTTCCAAAATTATAGCAGGGCCATGCATTGACAGCAACCCCTCAAGAGGAACAGGTAAGAAGCAGCCTCAAAAAGGCAGGTGCCCAACTGTTAAAGGTAAAATCAGAGGGAGTTAAGACCCAGACAATATCAGGAGTCTGAAGCTGTTTCTGTTTTACAGCTGTTTCAGTTTTACATCATTTACTGATCTTCATCCAGCTCCTGTTTTCTCATCTAGTCACGAAGGCAGCTGTGGAAAGCAGGAAGCTGAAGAGGATGTACCTTGAACTTGGACACCACTGTAACAACAGGTGCTCTGTTCTGGGTTTTGATGTTATTCTGGTTGTTTTCTGTCACAGGAAATAATTTTTGAAGCAGAGAGTCCTTAGAGTTTTGCAAAACATGGACCAGCTCTGGTGGAACAGCATCCTGCAAACACAGACATGATGTGTTAGAATCTGGACTTGGGCAGACACTGCCATCTCTGAAAATGACTGAAAATTCCACATAAATAGATGGAACAGTATTTCTGATGCCAGCTTTGATTTCACCACAGCTGCAGTTCCAAATCTGACCGTGTCCATTCATTCATAGTCAGATTTGGGAACTGAAAACAATGTTTGCCTGAATATTTAGCAGATCCAGTCAAATGTGTGACTGCTCCCTCCATTGTTCTTGTTATTCAGCTTCAGTGAGCCAGAAGCCTCAGCACTGGTTTAAAAGGACAGTCTGCAGCAAACATTAGAAAGTCTGTTAGAAATATTCCTTTTAATTAAGAGATGGTGTTTCATGGCATCACCTATTTTATTTATTCCCTGATGGCACAACGAGGCCAAAATTTGAATACTTCCAGAATTTCCAGTAAAGTCCATGCTCTTGTTTCTCATAAACTCACCAGATTTTTTTTAGGGGAAATGAAGCTCTCTATTTATGGTTATAAAAATGCCCTGATGCCATTAACAGTTCTGCATCCCCAGGAATGGGAGAGGCCCTGATTTGGTGATGGTCCACTTAATCCTCAGCTGAAAGGTCTAACAAAGGAATTGTTTGTGCCAGTGATGGACTGAAAACCAGAGCAAGAACATTCCCCAGCTATACATGGCCTGAAGGATTTCTTTGGAGCAAGGTATGTACATCCAGCACACACCCCTGAATAGACTTGTTCGCGGTGCTTTGATTTGGTCTCTCTGGAAACACCTACCTTATTTTTCTCCACCATTGCTGCCAGCTGGTAACAGACTCTGCCAGCATAATGTGAGATGATGAAGTTGGGCTTCTTACTAAACCTGTCTCGACTTAAACACTGGTTACTAGACAAGGCTTTCTCAATCCGAGTCTGGAAGAGGGCGGGGTTGGAGGGTCTGTTCAGGCGACACTCCTGCAAACGAGATGGGATTTGTCACAAAGAACTGACTCTAAAAGATGAACCACTTCAATTTAAAATCAACAGCCTTTTTGCTTTTGCAGCATGCCAGCCCTGGAATATTGGGGGGGTGGGGAGGATGGGAAGTAACTGAGGCTTCGTATTTGAATCAGAACATCCAGGATCAGAGGGAAAAAGATACTCAGAATATGAGGGAGCAGTGTCATGATTATTCTGAAAACGGAGCTCTGCAGAAATCGTATATCTGACAAGTTTTCTGTTCATATTTTCTTTGGTGTTGTGGGACAAAGGCAGGAAACTAGGCCAAAAAAGTTCAAGGTTCAGATCACACTTACCTCGTTCAGCAAGGAAAAAATGCTGAGAGGATTTCCCTCTAAGAGATCAAGGCAGTTCTGGTTATCCTGGTAGTTGATGAATGACCACTGCAGGCCTTCAGCTGCATATTCTTCCTGAAGGAAGAGGGAAAGGATCATCCTGCAGCAGAGGGCACCAGAGCCTGGAACTGTGTCTTGTGCAGTTGATGCAGTTAATGTTTAATGAGTTAATCCCAGCTCAGCTGCTCATCCAAAGCTCAGCTCGAGTTTAAGACCAAGATGAGAAAAAAAAAAAACAAACAAGGGTATTCTTGCCCAGGTAGCTTCTGAGTGTGGATCAGATCCTGCTGGAACAATTTGTCTGAGTATTTGGGAACCTCACAGATTTATCAGAGTGAGCTGCAAGGCTGATTTAGAGAGTGAACAGAGGCTACAGTCACACAAAGCCTGTCCTGGCTGTGCTGAGATTTGCCCTGAAGGGCAAGGAACGTGGAGAACTCCTTCCTTAGACTGGGACACAGCCCTAAACCAACCATTGTGTGCCAGGCTTTACTAACTGGGCTCCTTTTAAAGCCTGATCCAAGAGGAAGTACAGAAAGATATTAGTTGAAATAATCTGCACAATATTTATGCTGAACTACAGGACAGTCTGTCAGGAGTGTTTAACAAGCTCAAGCTCTGGGCAGTTATTTTAAAAGTCTCCTGCCAAAAGCTTGCTCAGCACAGCCACTAATGGCATTTAAGTGGTTTGGGCCCCAGCCAGAGGCAGAGAGGTAAGAGGGCAGGCAGTGACTGGGAGGGGAGCAGCAAACAGAGGTCATGGAGCAGTTTCAAGGCAAGTAATTGTGTGCTTGAACTCGGTTTCCATCTTCACTGACCATTAACCCCTGGCACACTGAGGAGGGCAGGCAGGGAAAAAAAGCCTGGGAATGTGAAAGCACAAACTGTGGTCAAAGGAACACTTATCTCCTGAACAAATTGACAAAGCCATGCTGGGAGGCAGGAGGTGCCAGTGTGCTGGTGCCATAAAGAAAATAATTTCCCAGATTATGCAGTTAATGGCAAAGAGCAATGTGGTAATGGAGCTGCACTGGGGGGGAACTGGAGCAGCCCTGGAAGGGACTCTGTGCCCCCAGAGCACTCAGGAGAACTGGAATTAGCAGTGTGTGACCAGTGAGCTGAGGGACTGCAGAGCCTTTAGCGTGGTGCAAATACCTCCTCTAGTGTGAAACAACACAACTTGTGAGCATTCCTAACAAAACCCAAAAGCTGATGCACACTGAGGTTTGGTTTTACAGGTACTGACACAGCAGCTGGTTCATGGAGCTGCTCCCCTGCAGCAGGAGGACTCCACAGGTACCACGTGGGTGTTGGGGTGACAGGGGTCTGTTGGGCTCTGCCTTCACACTGAGCTCAGTCTGGGAGCTCCCCACTCTTTTTTTTGGGACTCTGTGCTTGAGGAAGAGAATTAACATGGCTATGAGCAGCAGCTTCCAAGAGAATCTCTAGGCTGCACTTACCTCAAGAATTTGAAGTGTTCAGCTCTTTGAAGAAAACCAAACAGTTTAACAGGCACAGTTTAACAGTGGAGCTGGATAACAGGGAACAGATTTCCAGTCCCCAAGACAGAAAGCTGTGTCATTCCACCAACTGCCCCACACTCTCCTCTTTAAAAAGCCACTGTTACATCCCACTGGTTTCTGTGGCATTACTTACTGCCTGAAGGTTGCAATCTGACCAGAGGCACAGAAATAAATACAATTGAAGTGACAAAAGATGCTGTTTTAAAATTAGATTTTTTTTTCTCTTACTGAGGTCTCACCTGCTGTGCCTTCAGGTAGTGTGCTACAAAGTGCTGCTGCAGTTTCTCATTGGCATAGTTAATACAGAGCTGTTCCAGGTTGTTTTCAGGGAAGGCTTCAAAACCATAAACATCCAACAGGCCTAGAAGGAAGGTGGGAAGACAGTGAGCTTTAGTCTAGGAGCAGCTTGAAGGACTTCCAGTGAAACCAGGGTGGAATATGGAATATCCATACCTATGAAGCTGGTCCACACTGATGGATCTGCATAGATGCTCTCATTGATGACCAGAACGAGCCACTCAAACAACCTGCAATGACAGTGGGATGGGGTGGAAGCTGCTTGCAGGGCAGAGTTCTCATCCTGCTGTTCCTGTCGGTGTCACTTGGAAGGAACAGAAATCTCTGGCACGGAACAGCAGCACTCTGAAGGATTCTCTGCCAGTGCACAGCAGAATGAAGGGGTGTTGAGAGGGGAAGGGAGGGTTACAGTGATGGAATCCAAGCAGAAAGCCAAGGGGAGTAAATCCCTCTGGCCTCCCTCCTCCCTCCCCAAGGCCCCGGGGCTGGCACGGCCGTACCTGGCGTAGATGACTTTGGCCAGGCAGTCCCTCCTGGTCTCACACTCAGCTCTGGAGCAGGGCTTCTTGAACACCTGCTGCTGTTTCCCAGCAGTTATTGTCCGAATTCTTAAGGATTCCAGTAGTTCCTCCACGGGGATCTTCAGCAGATCTCCAGTGGTCTTCACAAAGCCTTGTTCAGGAGGACAAACAGTGCCAGGTTACCTGGATGCAGATCCTTTAAGCTCTGGAAGGTCTATAGTGTAGGAAAATGACACTTCCATGAGCTCACCAACTTTAATGTGGACTTTGGATCTTTTTTACCCAAACTTGGGAGCAAGTTTTGCAAGACCAGACTCTTAATTTAGATGTAGAGTTCCCCTAGAATTTCAGGTACTCTATTTAAAATGAAGCAATACCAAGCAATTCTGAAGTTTGCCACACTGAAGTTGGTGTTTTATAGAGTCTCTCTAGTCTTTGTTACTTGTTCACCTTTTCTGAGCAGAGACCTTGAAATCCAGGTAGACAAATCAGTCATGGCCAGAAAAAAAAACAGGGAAAAAACCAGAAAATGTAGAAGAATGAGTATTTGCTAACAAAGCATTTAAGATCTTGCTAAGCTGAGCTGTATGAAAAACAATTTAATATTAAATAGAGCTTGTGAAATCCTAGTAGGAAACTTCACTGTTCAGGACAGTTTTGGTTCTGAAGGAAAACTAGACCCACAAGCCTCCTAAAGACATGCAGAACCACCTCTATTTATGCTGCAATTTTAACAGATTATCTGTTACTCTGTTCAAGTCTTTATCATGAAAACTTCAAAGCTTTCATGTTAAAAGCCCTGCTCTCCACTCTGGGTCAGATTTCTGCAAAGTCTTGTGATGTCAGGGTAAGATTGCAATCAAGAGTCACAGTTCTGCCAATAATCCTGCTGAAATCACTGACTGATGCTGAAGTTGCCTTGACCTGTCACAGAAGGATATTGTCTCTCAGAGCAGGGGAGCATTAGAGTTTTGTTTACTCACAAAAACAAGCTTAAATTTTGGTTTGCTTATGACCTTGATAGTCTATATCAGCAGAAGGGTGCAGTAATCCTTTCCATCAGGCATCTGCACTGAGATAACAGGACTCCCTGGAGCATGGCATGGTTGTTGCCTCACCTTTGGTTTTGTCTTCCAGGTCACAAGGCTGAGATTCATCCACTGGATTAGAGAATTGGATGTTCCCAAGGTGGAGAAGGCCTGACAATACCTGAAACACAATCAATAACTGAGGTTTTTAAAACAGCTCCCCTCCAAGGCAGTGTCCTCTGAGCCTTCCTTAACCCCAGGAACAGGACAAGTCAAAACATTTCTGCACCAGAAGAAGCAAACACATTCCAAGCTTCTGTGTGAATCCCTCGTGCTGCAATTCCTGAAGGAAAACTGCAGTTCACAGGTGGAGGCTTTTTAGTTAAGATCTAATATTTGGCTGTGCAACCCCACGTGTTGCTGCAGGAGCCCCAACCAGCCCATGCTCTGCACGGACACAGGTTTCCTTCTGCAGCAATCCCCCAGCAGGAGGACACTCCAAACCCCCCCAGCAGCCTCGTGGTGCCCCCTCTCTGTACCTGACCTTGAAAACATTGCTCTGCGTGGAGCGCTCGATGCCCAGGTGACACATGGCAGCTCTGGTCACCTCGAAGCTGTCCTCTGCAAAGCCAGACAAGGGCTGGTTAGAACAGAGCCACGCACACAAACACAGGCAAGCAGGACCCTGCACAGCTCCAGCTCGGCTGGAATTGTCACAGGACACCAAGGGAGCCAGAGGCAGTTGGGGTAAATCCCCCAGTACAGGCTGGAGAACCCAGTCCCTGACTCAGTGATGCCTCTGTGGCTCTGAAGTGAGGCAGCAGGTGCTGAAGCCCATGCAGAGACAAGACAGTTTCAAAACACAGCCCCAGAGATGCAAATTCACCAGCCAGAAACAGCCAGGTTGAGTTTTAAGATTTAATAGTGCAAACTGAAACTTCAAAAGAGTCCCACTAATGCAGGTGGCCCTGGGGCACGGGATTGAACAGGACATATTTTTGCCTGCCTTCCTTTAAAGTTCCAGCTGTTTTTAATGGACAGTGAAACTCATCTTTACCATCCAAGTTTCTTTCAGGATTTGGCAGCCAGCGGTACTCAGCCCCTTCTGGAAGGTTCCACTCCAGCCTTTCCTCTGCAGTAGCACCTTTTGTGATCTGCAGGCAGAAAACAAGGTAAAGATTGAATTGTGCCTTTGGTATTTACAGCTCACAGACAAGGAAGAATAACATACTGGGAGGGTGATTTAATTTGGAAGCCTGGCAGACAGGGAAACTGTTAATTATTGAAAGTTGCAACTGTGCTAAATCTGGTGATTTCATCCCACTGTTTGTCAGAAATATGCAGCAAAATTAACTGAAGGCAAACCTGATAAAAAATATGAAAGTTTCTTTCATTGGGGGCCTGATAGGCAACTCTGGTCTTCTCCAAAAGGAAAGTCTGAATGGAAGCACTACTCAGATGGTGGAATCTGGAGGGGGAAAAAGAGCAAAGATTTCAACAAAACCTCTTCACAGAATCCAGCAGGTGCTGTGTTTTGTGACACCAACTGACTGTGAATGCTTTGCAGTTCACCTTCAGTTTTGTGCAAGCCTAATTTCGTATTTCATTCAGAGTTCTTAACTGCATCTCTCTTCTTCCACTGCTCTGTTTGAGAGATCAGGGTGAGAGCTTGCAGAAACAAGAAGGGAGATAATAACACTGTGAGCTGCCAGCAAAACCAAAATACGCTCTAAAGGCAGATCAAATATTCTGTGGCAGACTTCAGCAACAGGCTTGTGAAGGTTTAAAGGAACAAGACAACAGGGGGTTGACAGAGTGACTGTTACCTGTCTAGCTGGAGCTGGATGTACTTCCCAAAGCGGCTGCTGTTGTTATTCCGCAGGGTACACGCGTTGCCTGTGGAATTGCCAGGGACAGAATAATCAGAGTGGTTCCACTCTCCCATGCAGGACATACAGATAGTAAGGGTGATTTGATCCTGTATTTTGAGAGTTTACTTTTAAGGGGAGGACCAAGACATAGCTTGGATTTGTGTGCTAACAAAGAAAATTCCCACAGTGGCCGTTACTGCTTTTTGCTGTTAAAAAAGCCTCATTTACCAAATGCTTCCATGACAGGGTTGGAGTCCAACACTCTCCTCTCTATCCTTTCCACAGTTTCATTGCCTTTTGGGGAGATAACTGAAGCAGCAACAGAGGCATAGAACTTCATAAGGCAGCGAGAGGTCCAGGTCTGCAAGAGAGAGGCTTGACAATAAGGGCCTTGTTTTTCCCAGGTTATCAGCTGTGTCAGTGAGTGAGCAGTGCTGGCTGCTGGAGACACAGTGTGCAGCTGGTGGGGAGGCTAAAGAGAGGAACTGTGTCAGGCTGATAGCTCTGGTTCAGTGGAAACTCTGTGCCACAGACACATTGAAACGCTGTTGGAGTGGGAGTGCTTTGCTGAATGGCAGTTTCATTGAGATGTCACCATCTGGAAGCTCAGCCTGAATTAACAGCCAGTGTCTTAAGATGAAGGGAATATAAAGGGATTTTGAGTCATTAACACCCAGCAAATCAGTTTGTTCTCAGGCTTAAAAATACCCTCAATATTGTCCTGAATAGGGAAGGTCCCAGGGCAGGCTCTGAACTCTCTGCTCCATCTAAGTCTCTACACAGGGTTTGCTGAGACCCACACGAGCTCCCAGACAGACCAGGCTGGGGCATCAACTCAGGTGCAGTTCCTGTTGAATGATTCAAACCCAGCCCTCCCAGAAATGACAGATGTCACCTGAAGAGCAGCTATATTAAGCAGAGTGTGTTTAACTGCAGCAATCACTTAATGCTTCACACATATTTCAAGAGAGTCACACTGGAGCAGACTGGCTACGTGCTCCATCAGAGGGGGTTTTAATTCATCTCTGCTCCTTCAGTGCAACACTCTGCACTACAAATCACTGGCAGATCTCAAAACTTAAGAGCACTGTCATAAAAAAAGAAATTTTCTTACCTTCCCAGCACCACTTTCCCCACTCACAATGATGGACTGGTTCACAGGGTCCGTCTGGTTTTGGACGTTTCTGTAGGTTTGCTCAGCCACTGCAAAGATGTGAGGTTTTAAATCCTGGCAGTGAAAGAGAATATTCAGATTTAAGAGAACAGTAATTACACAGTTCAACAGCAATGGATAGTAAAGGTCACCTCACATTTACCTGAAAACAGTGCTGCTCTTTTCACAGAACTAATATTTCACTAGAAATGGGTTTTAGCTTTTAGGAGTGTTTTGCTCACACAGATTTTGAGGAGCTTGACATCTGGGTTCTGCAGAAGGACAGTTATTTCAGATACAAGCATTACCTGAGGACGAAGTGCAACATGGTACTCTCTCATAAGCTCAGGGGAATAGAGGCAGGAGAAAGGCTGGAATGGATTTAAAGCCACGAGGCTGCAGCCAGCATTGGTGTAAAACAAGTTGACTCTGTATCTTGCTTGAAGACATCTCAGAACTGAAAAACACACCTTCTGTTAGCAACGTGTATTTGATTCATCCTGAGCCTGTTTGGAACAGAAATCCTCAGGTATGTTACCTATTAGGTTTAACAGAGAATGAGGTGACCAAGAGAGAGAGATGGGTCTAATGTACACAACAATGTCTTCAAGAGTTGTCCTTGTTTGTAAAAATTTTAAGGGATCTGCTATTCCATTCAATAAATCCTGGTTTTTTTCTTTTTCACACAGTCCTAGAGGGCAAATCTATTCCCTTGCAGAACACACAGGCAAGAACTCCCCATCTCTGCTAGGAACAGGCCTCAGCTGCTTCTAACAGCATCATCTTTAAAAGTTGAGGGAGGAATTTACTTTTTAAGACCAATTTCATGGCTATATTTGGAATCTAAGTTAGAGCTCGTTTTCTGATGTGTTCAGTAACACCAAACTGCAGTGCCAAGGTCCTGCAGGAGTCCTGCAACAGTGTTAACTCACACCTGGCTGCCTGAACCAACACCACCCATGTGAGCTCTGCATGCAGAGCGTGCTAAGTGTGACTTTCAAAGGCTCAGAACAGGCCTTAATAGGCTTTGAATCTTTAACTGCTGTGTTCATGGCCCTATTAATGCAATGAGAGCAGGAACTACCCCAGATCAGTAGCCAGGGAAAGTGATTCCTCAGGAGATCCTCCCCTGGCTGCTCCTACCTGTCGTGGTTGTCACTGGATTAACTTTGGTGAGGTCATCAAAAAGGTGCAGTTTCTCTTCATCACTGAGGAAGGCTCTAACTTCTTCTTCAAATGACTCACTGAGGTCATTCCGGATGACAGAGTCTCCTTTTTGGCCATTTTCCTAGAGGGGGTGTCAGATCAGCACCAGTCAAAGGCTGAATCCAGCTGGACTTTCACCTCATCCACTATTCCAGCTCTTCTACTGCTCCCATGTCCAACTGTGGACCAACACAACTGCAGTTTTCCCAGCAGAGACTTTCATTTTCAGGGTACACACACCACAGCCAGGGGAGAGAAATGGTGGTTCTGGAAGAGCTGGCCTGCATTACCTGAAGATTTGTCCCCTTTGAATCACCAAAAATGTTCAAATCTTTCCCTCTGGGCTCCCGTGCCCTTGACAATACTGGCTGGAAGGACACACTTATTGTACAAACATAATGGAAAACTAAGAGAGATTCCAGGTCCTGTTTGTCACTTACAGGGAAAGGAGAGGTTAGATAAGAAAATGAAGAAGGGAATAAATACCCTTAGGGATGTGCTAGGCACCTGCCCTGTTAGAGCCAAGGGCACAACAAAGATCCCTGCCTGCTGTTGGTAGCACAGCTCAAACCCACAGTAAATAGGTCCAGTCAATTCATGAAGTAGGGGTGAATATTTATTAGTAGTTACCTAATCTTGACTGCATGGAAATAAGCCAAGAATTCTTTCCTGGCAGTAAAATTTAATTAGCACACACAGTTCCTGGTTTTCTCTTTACCTGCTTTGGCATCTTGTCCAGGCCTGTGGATGGGAACGCTGGAGAGGAGCCTTACTTTAGGGTACTTCATTCAAATCAGACTGAAGGATCCTTAAATGAGACAAAAAGGCATTTAGAACCAGATAACTCTGGACATGTCAATCTCCAGAGGCAAAGCCCAAAGGCTTCAGACAGAATTACTGATCCCAGTGGGACCAGGCAACACTGGAAGCCTACCCAGACTGTCAGTGACAGTCACATGTTCTACTGCCCCTGCAAAGAAAGCTGATTTGGAGAGAATAATGAACCTTTCCTTACATCAGGAATAAAACACTTTGTTTCTCTTGAATTAATAAAGCAAGGTTTCTGGGCAAGAAACTGCAACTTTTTGTTAAATTCCTTCTGTTTGGCCGAATAGGAAGGATTTGTGGTCTGACGGCATCGGAGGAGCCGCTTTTGGAAAGGCTGTGACTCAGAGAAGTTTGTGCTGCAGCAGAAACTGCTGAGATAGGCTGCTGTCCCCTTCCTGCTTCCTCTGGAAAACCATGGAGCCAACCCAAGGTGAGTCAAGCCCTTTGGATTTCTGTGGTAAACACAGAGATTCCAGTCACAGAGCCAGGAAGAATTCTGTCCTTCCAGCAGCCGAAACTGCCATTACTCCCACTCTAATTCTATTTCAAATTCTATTGTAATTTTAATTCTATTCCAATTCTATTCTATTATAGTCTATTTTAAATTATATTATATTCCAATTCTACTATACGACATTCTATTTTAATTCTATTCTAATATATAATATTATGTTATAATTCTATTTCTTTCTTCTCTTCTCTATTCCTATTCCTATTCCTATTCCTATTCCTTATTCCGTTCTTACCTGGCATGAAAACACCCCTTAGCGCCACGTTCGACCCCTGAGCTGATGCTCGCAGAGCTCAGGGCACCCCGCGACCCCCATCCCAAATCCCGTCGGTCCATGGCGGTTCCCCGGGAGCGGCCTTTGTGTCTGTGCGGGATCCCGGGGGACGCGGGATCCCTCCCGGCCGCTCCCTGCGGGTGTCGGCAAAAAGCCCAAGGTCGAGCCTGCCCGCCCGGCACGGGGCGGGGAGCGGGCCGGGGTTGGAGCGGGCGGCGATCACGACCGAGGGCCGCGGAGGCACGGGACGGGATGGAAGGGATGGGATGGCGAAATGGGACGGGATGAGGATGGGATTGGACGGAGAACGGGCGGGTGGACGAAGGGCCGGTGCGGGACTTACCGGCGGGCGAGGCCAAGCGTGAGCGGGGCCGGGCGGCGAGCCGGGCGGACACCGGCGGGCGGAGGAGGCGGAGGCTCGGGCGGGGACTCGGGCGGTTATTCGTGAGCCGGCGGAAGCGCTCCGCTGGGAAAGTGCGGCGCGAGGCGCGGGGGCGGGGCTTGTTAGCCTGCGGGCCCGGGGCGAAATGCGGGACACACACAAACGGCCCGGCCCCGCCCGGCCCCGCCGGCCCTCGTGCCACCCCCCGCACCGTCGTGTGCCATGCGCCCCCGCCCGTCGTGCCAATCGCCCCCCGCCCGTCCTGTGCCATCGCCCCCGCCGGTCTGTGCCATCGCCCCCGCCCGTCTGTGCCATCGCCCCCGCTGGTCTGTGCCATCGCCCCCCGCGCTGTCCCCGCTCCCGGTAAGATCCCGCGGGGGAGACAAAACCCGCTGGCTTTGAGCTGTTCAGTAACGCTGTGGAGGTTTCACGGGTGTTCTCCCGGAGGTGGAGGAGCCGGGCTGGGCTGGGGCTGCCTCAGAGAGGTGCCAGGGGGGGATCTCAGCCGCCGGGTTTGTTGCTGACCTGGCATGGCAAAGTTCCTTGAGGTCGCGTTTTTCCATAACTGTTTCATTTACACTATAGAGAAGATGGCAAAGTGTGTTCTGCAGAGCGGGACATACAGTAAGATTATTCGCAATGGGAATATTCAGTGGAGTATCTGGTATTTAGAGACCTTAAGCACAAATATATGAAGAATCTTGGAGCACAGCAGGATAGGTAATGCTGGAGCTTGTCCAAGTCTTCCATTTGCCTGTAACTCTGCTCAGCTTCTCAGGCCACTGTTTCTAGCTCGGGGGGTGCTGCTCTGTGTTCTTTAAATTGAAAAGTAACTCAATAACTCCTGAAATCAATGGTGTTTTGATGAACTGGTACATAAGATTTCTTTTTAAGGAATTCTGACACCCCTGTTCTGTAAATGATCGTGGACCAGAGCAGAACTTAAAGGGTTACCAAAGCAAAGGACATTACCAGAACAGAAGAGAATGTGGCAGAAGGTGGGAGGAAGTGTCTACAAGGTGAATGGAGCCAAAGGTTGCATGACCCAGAACAAGACAATTGAAGAAAAGAAGAAAGCTGAATAGGTGTAAAGATGAACACTAGTTTGTTAGTAGGTAGAAGTATGCATACTGTAAATTTATAGGGCCAAGTATTGCTTGCTGATAGGTTGAAGATGCTTAGCTCACAAACCAGAAATGAAACTAGTTCCTCTATGAATAGAGGCTTGAAATAAATAATAAAGGATTCTCTTGCTGACCAGCAAGGGTGTCCATGCCTCAGTTGCTACACTGTGCTACAAAACTAACTCAAGGTCACATTTGTGTTTTCAGAGGAAGAAAGAAGAATGTCCCAAAAACAGCTGAAGGAAGCCTTTATCAGCAACCTGAACGGAACTAGTTTGCTGGAAATTTCCGTGGGCTTGTCCCTGCCTCCCCTGTGCCTGCTCTGCAGAGGGCTCCTCCTGATTCTGTACCACCTGCACTATGGAAAACCTGTAAGTTCAAGGAAATACAGCCTGCTGCTGGACTTCCTGGTGCTGGTATCTCCTCTGCTCTTCTCCTGCACGGTCTTGTCTCCAGTCCTCTTTCTCGTGCCGGTTATCCTCGCCGCCTTCTGCGCCGGGATATTTTCCAAAATATGCAGCCGGAGAAAACAGGAGACCAGAGTGCCCTTTGGGCAAATTGTAAAAGAGTTCCAGCAGGCATACTTGGATCCCGACTACATTCCAGCAATAACCGTGTTCCGTGTCTATGTCAACGTGCTGACAACCATCAGCATCTTGGCCGTGGATTTCCCGCAGTATCCCCGGCGATACGCCAAAGCCGAGACCTACGGCACGGGAGTTATGGATCTGGGGGTCGGAGCTTTCGTCTTTGGCAACGCCCTCGTTTGTCCTGAGGTTCGACAGAAGTCTCATGTGGCACAGCCCAAGTTTTCCAACCTGGCCAGGCAGCTCTTTTCCGTTTGGCCCTTGGTCTCCCTCGGCGTGGGGCGACTGCTGAGCGTTAAATCCATAGATTACCACGAACACACGTCGGAGTACGGAGTGCACTGGAATTTCTTCTTTACCTTGGCTTCCGTGAGACTTGCAGCATCTCTACTTTTAGCCATATTTCCTAAAAATAAGTCTTGGATCGTGGCTCTGACTCTGGCTGCACTTCATCAGCTCATTCTCAACACTACCTCTCTGAAGACGTTTCTCCTGCACGGGAGCAGCGGCAGGGACAGCAGGGTTGGATTTCTGGATGCCAACAGGGAGGGGCTGGTCTCTCTCGTTGGGTATCTGGCCACTTACCTGGCGAGTGTCCAGGTGGGGCTGTGGCTGCTGCAGTGCAGGAGCTCAGTGAAGGGCTGGCTCGGGGCACTGCGGGTCCTGGCCCTGGCAGTCGTGGTGCTGTTCGTGTCCCTCCACGTGTCCCAGGCGCACGCAGACCCCGTGTCCCGCCGGATGGCCAACCTCTCCTTCTGCCTGTGGGTCGTCGCCCACTCCCTGATGTTATTTATCTTCTTTGTAGCCACTGACCTCACCTTGGTGCTCACAAAGCTGCTGGTGAAGGGCTCCAGCGTACCCTGCAGCTGGAACCTTGCCAAGCCCCCTAATTCCAACAAAAAGCTCGGAACGGCGGCCGCGCCGGCGGGAAGGGAAGACGAGCTGCCCCAGCCCTGCCTGATCAGTGCTATTAACAAAAACCAGCTGCTGTTTTTCTTGCTGGCAAACGTCATGACCGGTGCTGTGAATATCCTGGTGGATACGATCCACAGCAAGGCTGCCTTTGCACTGTGCATATTGCACTTGTATATGTTTGTTAACTGCTTAATTATGTCTATATTGCACGCCAAAAATATAGTATTAAAGTTTTGGTGATTTCCACTCTGAGTGGACTAGTTGGGCTTCGCTGTAGCTGGATGGTGGTATATGGAAAAATTAGTATTTTTCCTGTGTGCATTACAAAAATTATTATTTTTCCTCCCTTTTCCTGTATTGCAATAATTTATAATTTAGTATAGATTTTTATCGTTTAGTATTGATTATTTTTTATTGGTCCTCGTTACCAGATTATACAGTCAATGCTGTTGCCTGTTGGAAGTTGTTACACGCTTTCCTGAAAACTTAGTTTTTGAGATTGCTGAATATTCCTGCTGCTCCTAGGAGTGAATTGTATTTACAGTTAGTGAACTGTGCTCATACCTAAGGGCTGGTGGAATTAGGTAGCGATGTATGGAGGAGAAGCCAGATGAAAAGGAAGAAAATGAGTAATTATATATAGAGAGAGGCTTAGCTGTGTCAAGATTTACTTAGTTAAGGCCCTTGAATAAGTAATAGATAAGAATAATTCTTTATACAAAATATATTGAATAAGTGGATACTTAAAAATATTTTTGGCCCCAGTCCTGCAAAGATTTATGCATATGCTTGACTTTGATGGTAGTAATTGTATGTGGAATGTTAATCACATACCGAAATCTAAATTAGCCTTTGAATTAAAGCTAAATTTTATTTCCATCCTCACTGATGAATACAAATGAAGACCCTGGATAAAGTGTGATGCTCTGAAGGATAAACTCTACTGCACATGAATTTATAAAGCAGTTGTTGGAGGTGGTGGTGCAAATAATAAGAGCACCACAGCCTTTTATAAGAAAATACAAAGATCCCAAACTCATTCACCCCCAACCTGCAGGACCAGCACGTTGTGACAGCTTATCTTTAGGAACTCTGTAAAATAGGGACTTCAGCTTTCAAAGTACTCAAGGCCCACCTACTTGTCTGTAAAATGACTTCAGTCACTGAATACTGTATTTTGACAGGAGAGATGTCTTCCAGGGGGAATATTTGGTATTAATTTTTATTAGCAAACAAACAGGGTGCAGGTAGAAAGAAAGGCTATGCAGTGGCAGGGCCTTGACAAGGGATATGCTCAGTTTCTCTCAGTCTTCCTGCAAGGCCAGAGCAGAACCCCCTCTTTGTGACAGTTCTTCCTGATCTCATAAGGTTGCCGAGAAGAGAAATATATTTAAAGAGCATGAGGAATTCAATAATGGGATATAAATACTTTAGAATACAAATGGTAGTTGATGATAGATGGCTGATGTCAGTCCAGTTACAGCAGTGCACAGGGGCCATATTTCATATTTCTCCTCTCTATCAATTGTGATGAATCATAAAACCTTTGGAGATTGAGCCTCTAAATCAGATTCCTTGAGGCAGCCATGCTGTGGAAGATTCCTAAACTTGTGAGGTTCTCTTAGCCCCTGGCCAACAGAAGGGTGAAGTCTGAGGATTAAAAGCTGTGGCCATGCTGAGTTCCTGCTTGTTTGCTTCCAAGTGAAATCCAAGTAGTCTCCAGAATTAAAGAGATCCAGCCTGGTTTATCCTGGGGACAAATGCAATAATTGGCAACAATGTCTTAGAAACAGTTGTGTGTTTACAGCAGTTTTCTGGTAACTGGTGGATGTATTTATTTTAAAGCACTTTCTAGCCTTGCCTAGGGAAGAAAGGCCTCCCTCATGAACTGAATGGCACTGCTCGTTTATGCAAATTTACTCATGGATATTAATTTTTGAAATATTTCAAGCCCAGGCCCTGCAGTGAGTTGTGCCTGTGAGCACAAGCCTATGGGTGTGATTCAGAACCAAGGCATGAACTGGGTGTGACAGGCAGAGCTGTGTCTGGACAAGCACAAGCTGCCCAGGTGCCAAGTGCACTGGGTGAAGCAGAAATGCCGTGGGAGGTCTGGGCTGTCTGGGCAGAGCCCTGGGAGCTCCACACGGGCGGGTTTGCAGCACAGCCAGCAAACCAAGGGCATCTGGTTGTGCCAGGGGAGGGTTTGGTTGGTCATCAGGAGGAATTTCTTCATGGAAGGGGTCTCCAGGCATTGGGAGGGGCTGCCCAGGGAGGCGGTGGAGTCCCCAGCCCTGGAGGTGTCCAAGGACCAACTCAGTGCTCTGGGCTGGGTGACAAGGTGGGGATCGGTCACAGGCTGGACTCGATGGTCCTGGAGGTCTTTTCCAACCTGAATAATTCTGTGATTCTGCAAGTTGTTCACCACTGAATTAACGAGGGACAATTAATTCTCATTGCTTATTGTCAATAACAAATGCAGCCAGCTCTGCCCTGAAGTGTGGTTATTAATGCTGAATATTCAGGCCATGAATACAGATAATTACCCAGGCCCCTCAAAGAGCCCAGAGATGCAAGGGGGCATGCTTTGATCCCGGGGTCTGTGGGAGCAAACAGCACTGCAGTGGGGCTGAAAAGATGTGAGCAGTGAACGGTCTGCAGGCACTTTCTCCACACACACCCCAGAGCTGTCAGCTGGGTGCTGCAACACTGCATTTCACTTCACTCCGGGCTGTGTTTTGACAAGCAACCCCTTACAGATCAAAGATATATTAAAAAAAATCAGAAGCTTTTATTTAGTTGTTACATAATTAGTAAAAATTTAAGATATTTCAACTGTGAACACTGAAATGGTTCAACCATAGTGTGCCACTGACTTCAATAACAGTAACTCAGAGGACTAAGGAAAAAGAAAGTGTTTTGCCTTTGCTGCCATAATTTCACCAAATTACCTTTTTGTAGGGCTGCAAGATGGAAAAAATATGATGAGAGGGCAGAGCTGATTACATTTATCCTTAACCTTTTGTTAAACATTAGTAACTTCTTAACAGATCTCATTATTTTTAAGGATCAGCTCCTTAGCATGCCTTCCCTTTCAACCCAGCGCTGTCTCTTTTGAAGTCAGATGTTACAATAAAGATTGCAGGCAGTATCCTATTTCAAAGCCACGGTGTCCTCGAGAAACAGGTATTTCTTCCAGGCAAAGAGGGGCATGCAAATGAAGGCAGGAAGGGGCTGGCTGCCTTTCCACTGTGTTGCAGACAACAAACAAGCTGCGTGTTCCAGCAACGAAAAAAATATTAAAAATCCATGGATAAAAACTGTATGAAATGCGATGGTGCTTTTCATACGTAAGGTCATCAATGTGCAATCCAATAATGAGAAATTTGGGCACTGCTGTTGATAGGATCCAGCCACGCTCTGGGAGTGGAGGGGCTCAAGTGACACAGGAACCCACACCCTTGCAAAGAAAGCGTTAAGTTCACCTTGGTTCAGGTTGCTCACAGAGCTCTGGTGTGAGAAATATTCTTTATTATTAAAAATCCCAGCTTTTCTGCTGCAGAAAAAGATGAAAACACACCGACTGCAAACGCTGCAAGCGCCGTGTTCCCGTTAGAGATGCTGCACGAGGAGCTCGAGTAAATTAACTCCTCCACCAAGCACGGGTTTTATGCAGACACGAGAAAAAAAGAACCCAAAATTCCTGCTCCTTAATTACCTCCCCTGCGTTTTCTCGTGAGGACTTCAATGTCTGTACACACGCGCGCACACACACACACACACAACAAGAACGAACAGATCAGCTGGGCTATTTAATAGCTCGAGACAGGCGCTGGGTTCGGTGTTTTATTTTTTTTTTGACCGCTTAATTGAGGCAGCCACAGGATTTCGGGCCGGTTGTCCGGGCGCCAGCATCCCTCGGTCGGGGCAGTTCCATCCTGCCCTGCCTGGCCGGGGACCAGGCGCGGAGGGCTCGGGGGTGTTTGGGCTGGGGCGGTGTCTGAGGCGAACTCACAGAATATCCCGGCTCGGAAGGGACCCACAAGGGTCGAATCCGACCGAAGGCTCCCCCGAAACGCCACGGAGCGCCCTGAATTCCGCGCATTTTTGCCGCTCCGCGCCAGGGCAGGACCCTGCCGGGGCCGTTCGCGCCCGCGGTAACGCCCCGTGAGGGGCAACTCG